TAGTAATAATAGTATAGATATATATATATATATATATATATATATATATATATAGTTAAAGTGTTGGCTTTGTACTTAGAAAAATAAACTCACATGCAAGCACAATTGTGTCCCTCGTATATCATGATGAGCGTAGGGACTTTGTATTATTAATTCTATATATATATACTTGTATAATATATAGTTTACATATATATCTTAACAAACTTCTCTTTGTACCTACCAAGAATTTGATTTGCCTTTACATGTTAGTTTTGGACCACTTAATAACATATTCTTCCCTTCTTTTCAAAATATACGTTATCAATCGTTTTTGTTTGATTAAATTAAAAATGACAACTTGCATCTCGTATGACATATAGTGATTAATGAAACGGATAAAATAATGAAATTTTATACTCACATTTTGATGAAAGCACGAAAAATGTTATATTATGAAAGATTAAAAATAGGTTATCTAATATTTGTCAAGTATCTGATAAAATAATCGAATACAAACCGATTTAGAAAAAGAAAAATAAACTAAGTTTTTTTTAATGAGCATGCAACTTTATTGTTTGACCAATAATCAACACAAGCGGCTACCAAATCACTGGCTTCTTCTTTTATACATTTATACATATTTTAGTATATAGTTTTAGTATTGTAGGATCTATTCTAGTTTAACTTTTTCTTCATTTTTTCCAATACAATCATATGAGTAGACTCTTTTAATGATCAATATTGCATGATGGTGGGTCACTAGAGTCCAAATTATTAAAGATGGCTAGACATGATTTACCTAGACATTGATCCTCCTCATGATCACTTTGAGACGATTCGTAAGCGTATATAAATATGTCTTTTAATTTAATCTCGTTATTTTATGAATAAATAAATTGTAACAATCTTAATTACTGATGAAGTATATGTATATAATCACTACTAAAAAATATAAAATTTATTGTTAACTAATCCATCACTAAATAACTCTTAGCTAATTGAGTTTTTAGATGATTCGTTGCTAATTCATAATAACTAGGAGATTTTTATTGTTAAGCTACAAAATTTATCTCCTTCTTTGTTTTCTTAGTAGTAAATAAAATATGATTTAATTAAGACACAATACATAAATATGTCTTTTAACTTGGCTTCGAATCACATTTATGTCTTTCAACTTTGGATGTGCAAAAATAGACACTTAAACTTGTATAAAGCTGAACAAATAGACACACATGTCCTACATGTCATCCTACGTGCCATTTTTTGTCCTATGTGGTGTCATACGTGTATTGTGTCATGTAGGACTCATGTGTTTATTTATTTAAAAGTTGGATAATTAAAGTGCATGTTTGTGCATTATGAAAATTAAAGGTCAAAGTTAAAATTTGAAGCCAAATTTAGAGTCCAATATATGTATTATGCCGTTTAATTAATGTAGACCTTATTATATATTTGTCTTCATCATGACTAATCCGACTAAATTAAAGTTTTTGTTAACTCAAGTACCCAATTCCAATTATTGTACAATATTCTAAAAAAAAACACTTTTTTCTGCTTTAATTACTCCCCCCACCCCACCCCAACCCCCCAAACACAAATAATTTATAAACACAAGTCAAAAACATCTACAAAACCATTTTATTCTCAAAAAAAATTCTCTAGTTTTGCCTTAAAAAAAAAGAAAAAAATTATGTATAATTATAGTGTTTGGAGTTCGTTAGCAATTGCAATTTTTATCATCATTTTTCATAAGAAATTATTCATCATAATCATTCATAGAGTGAAACGATATGCACAATCAAACAAGACGATTTCACTACTTCCTTTGGGAAATCTTGGATGGCCTTACATTGGAGAAACCTTAGAGTATATTTCTTCTGCTTACACTCATTCTCCTGAATCCTTTATGGATAAACGTCGCCACATGTAAGTCGTTACATTCTACACAGCTAAAATTAGCTATGAACTTTATCGCTAAATATAATTTTTTTTTAAAATAAGATATCCATATATGTTGTTATTTGAGAGATTGGTGATGAATTTCATTTAGCTAATTTCTTTCACAAGAGAGCTATTCTTTTAGTGATTGATATGAAAAAAATATATTTATGTATCTTTTTTAAGGAAAATATTTTACATGATCGATCTCTTGTTTATGAATGGAATTTAATTGTTTTGAAATTATTAGCTTAAGTTTCATTAGCCTTATAATTATCTTTGATATCGATTTTCTTTCAAAAATAATTTTTATCACTAGCTAAATTGTTTTCTACTTGCTGAGACTATACTAGATATATTATTATTGTTGTAGTACTAACAAAAATAACGAAAAATTAATACTTTTCATGAAAATAACTTTTATCGTATCAAACATATATATATATATATGCTTGATTTATACGAGTAATAATATGATCATTACCTTTCAAATTTATTTTCTCTGTTGATGAGTCGTAATTAATTAGTATGTTCTGTTAATTAAAATTTTTATTGATTAATTTTTTTTTCTACTTGAATAGGTATGGGAAAGTGTTCAAGTCGCATATATTTGGAAGTCCAACTATAATTTCAACAGATGCAGAAGTTAATAGAAGTATTCTTCAAAGTGATGCAAAGACTTTTGTGCCCTTTTATCCAAAATCTCTTACTGAATTAATGGGAAAATCCTCAATTTTGCTAATTAATGGAAGTTTACAAAGAAGAATCCATGGCTTAATTGGATCTTTTTTCAAATCTCCTCATATTAAAGCTAGAATTACACATGACATGAAGAAATATGTACAAAAATCTATGGATAATTGGCAAGAAAATTGCCCCGTCTACATCCAACATCAAGCTAAAAATGTTAGTTTTCACTTTCCCTCTCTCTTCTCCGCGCTTTCAAAAAAATTACTAATTTTCAACGGAACGTTTTATTGGAACTTAGCTTGGTACCAATTTTCTAGTAGTGCCACTTGTCTATATTTTTTTATATTTTGATACGGATAAATTTTTTGTAGCTAAATGATAAATTTTCGTTTAGCTAAGAGGTTTTGAGCGATGAATTAGCCAGGGATTACTGATAAATTATTTTGTAAGCTGGAAAGTAATTTGTTACACATAGTGAAAGTTAGTAATTATGACTTTGAATAATCGTGGGGTTTATGCTAAAACTTAATGAATTATATTGTTAGTTAAAGTGAAGTCATTTGTTATAATTATGTTTGGGATATTTAAACGTGTTTAATTTTCAACATTATCGTTTAATTTAATTCTTTTTGTTTTAATATTGTACATATTTCAGATTGCTTTTCAAGTACTAGTCAAAGCATTGATTGGTATAGATGGAGGTGAAAAATTGGACATATTAAAAATCAATTTTCAAGAATTTATTGCTGGTCTTATGTCTTTGCCAATTAATTTCCCTGGCACTACACTTTATCGTTCGTTACAGGTAACATAATTTATCTTATTATGATTTTGGAAAAATAGACGTAACGAGTATTGAGAACGAATTTTATTTCAGGCAAAAAAGAGGATGGTGAAATTGATACAAAATATTATACAAGAAAAAAGGGAAAAGAATATTATGTCAACAGTAAATGACGATGTAGCTGATGTTTTATTAAATGATACAAGTAAAGAATTAACAGATGAATTAATATCTGATAATATGATTGATTTTATGATACCTGGTGAAGATTCTGTTCCAGTATTAATAACTCTTGCTATTAAATACCTCTCTGATTCTCCTCTCGCTCTCCAACAACTGACGGTACGTATTTTTTCTCATTTTGATCTAATTTTTTAAGTTGAGTTCAATCCAGTATCGATGAAATAAGGAGAATTTAGTCTTTTTTTATATGATGTTAAAGTACGTCGAAAGGCTCGTAACATGATAAATTTATTGTTAAGCTACAGAATGGCTAATTATTTTTCCTATTTTATAGGAGGAGAACATGACACTAAAGAGGTTGAAAGAAAAGCAAGGAGAAACATTAGTGTGGAGTGACTATTTATCATTACCATTTACACAAAACGTAAAAATTATTTGATTATATTTCAACTTAATTATCAAACATAATTATTGAATTAGTGATTAATTACTCTTTTTTTTTAATAGGTGATATCAGAGACATTAAGATTGGGAAACATAATAATAGGGGTAATGAGAAAATCAGTGAAAGATGTGGAAATAAAAGGATATTTAATTCCAAAAGGATGGTGTACTTTTGTTTATTTTAGATCAGTTCATCTTGATGATAATCACTATGACTTCCCTCATCAGTTTAATCCTTGGCGTTGGCAAGTAAGCACGATCATTTTATTTTTTTGAAATATTTATTTTATTATATTAATTATTGTAATTTATATTATTTTTATACGTACGTACAGAGCAAGGATACAAATAATTATTGTAACTTTACCCCATTTGGAGGTGGACAAAGGTTGTGCCCTGGGCTGGACCTTGCTAGGCTGGAGGCTTCAATTTTTCTCCACCACTTTACTACTCAATTCAAGTATGTATGGAACTTTTTTAGGGATAATTAACGATAAAAATTTAGTTTAAAATTCGATTTATAAAATTAATTTTTTGAATATTGATACAGGTGGGTAGCTGAGGAGGATTCAATTATCAATTTTCCAACTGTAAGAATGAAGAAAGGAATGCCCGTTTGGATTAAACGAAGAGAGACTAAACAATGTTAATACATATATTAGAAGAACAATATAAACGAAAGAGATTAGAGAGAGAGAAAAAAAAATAGTTTTTTTCTTCTTCATTTCATTCTTATACACTTTGGATTGTTATTAAAATTTGTAAAAAAAAAAAGTATATGTAATATCATAACCACAAAAAAAGTAAGCATTTTGAAGCTAAACCTAAGAATGAGTATCTGAAATAAATTATATTTTCTACGAAGAAAGGTTAAAATTGCTTCTGAATTATGCGAAATAGATTACTTATATCCTTCATTACATTTTGGGATCAAAAATACCCTCGCTGTTATCCTAAGAGACCACAAATACTCTCAAGAGTTAACAACTCAAATTTTTTAGTGATGTGGCATGCCACATAGGACTAATCCCTCCATCTAAGCGTTGCCAACTAAGATCCACTACAAAAGAATTTGATCTTTAGTGGCAACCACAAAATCTCAAAATATTGTTACTAAAGGTTATGAGTGACTTTTAGTGACGACTAATAGTAAAACCTAGTTTTTCAACAGAAAAATATGATAATTAATTTTCGATTGCAACCTAATTTTCTAAAAATAAATAACTTACAATATTGATATTAAAAACACCTGATATTATTATGAAAAATCATGAAAATTACTTTTCGATTCACATCTCTTATTGTATAATGCATCATTTTGCATTTTATACATTGACATATAACATAAAAATAAATCGTACAATATTTTGAAACTCCTACTTAATCGATATCATTTTTATTTTTAAAATAATGAGGAATAAAACACAAAATTAAAATTTAATGTTGAAAACTTTTAGTGACGATTTTTTGGGCTATTGTGGCGACTATTGTCGCCGCTAAAGGTCTAGTTCTTTTGTAATGAATCCTAGTTGGCAATGTCTAGGTGGAAGGATTAGTCTCACGTGGCTAGCCAAGTCAATGAAAACATTGAGTGTTAACTCTTGAGGGTATATGGGGTCTCTTAGGATAACCAGTAGGGGCATTTTTGATCCCAAAATGTAACGAAGAGTATAAATGGTCTATTTCACATAGTTCAAGGGCAATTTTGACCCTTTTTTCGTATTTTCTATAATGAGAAAATGCACAAGTAATCCTACTAAACTATGATCCAAATTCCAGGGACACACCTTAACTAAACTAAGGTCCTATTATCTGAACTTATTTTTTTTTGAAATTTTATAACCTTTTGTGTTATGTGACACACTCCATTACTCCATGCAATTAGAGCGCATGGGAGATATTTGAATGTCACGTTAGCCAAAGAAATGCACAAAATTACAAATAAAATAAGCTCAAGAGATAGTAATGTCTTACGATAGTTAAGGTGTGTCACTGAGATTTTTATTCTAGAGGATACTTGCGCATTTTTACTTCTATATACTAATAAAATTTAATACTACTATTATTTATCAATTATAATATATACTAGCTCTACTTCGATATCTGTTTTTTTCTTTCGACAAGACGAGCGTGATCATAATAAATTTAAATTATTCTCTCCACATTTTTTCCTTTCAATCTGTGGGACCTTATTATATGACTATATATATATATATATATGACTATAGAATTACAACATGTTATATATATATATATATATATATATGACTATAGAATTACAACATGTTATATATTTTAATGTTTTGATATTAATGACGAGGTTATAATTTATATTAAAGAGTATCAGTAAGCACACCATGGTAAATTGAGATATTACTGGCCATATGGTTGAAGACAATTTATAAATATTTTGTGAACTAGAATTTACATACAACCTTTTTTTGGAACTTTTGTATTCCTTTTAACTATTTTGCTGAATTTTAAAATTGTATCAAAAGATGTTAAAATTTGACTTATTTATAGTGAGTCTAAGGCGCATTTAAAAGGGAAATATTAAAATTTACATGTGTGAACAGAATGCGATAATGACTTATGACTGGATGCATCGCAGAGGTTAAAAATTAAAATTTATATTTTTTTATTTTATTTTTAAAACTAGATAATACTTCTCTAATTGGTAATTGTTAAATATGTTGTCATTTTAATTTTATATATATATATATATATATATATATATATATATATATG